TCCACAGTAAAGTTTTATAGGAATAGTACATGTGCGATGAACAAAAGTATTGTATCAAGCTCAAACACACATACATAAACAAATGTGGAAAATAGGCTTTTTTTGGGGAATTTTTATGTAAAAAGAATTCAAACACACACACACACACAAAGCACTTACCTAGTATGGTAGATGTTGGAATCCGGCGGAGCAAGAGAACCATAGAGTAGGAGATAGAATCATAACCATGACAGAGATGGTCAGGACGGTTCGAGGAGAGGTATGATGGCGATAGTTCTGAAGGGGATGAATAGGGCAACCCTATATATTTTCAATTCCATTGTTAGTTTTAAGTGGTGCATGCATAGGGCACCGAATTTATTTTACCGTGAGGAGGATAATTACTGACAAGGCATACAAATCTTTATTTTTTCTTTTTTTGGAAAAAGAAAAGCCGCGAAGGCGAAGATATAAAAGGCAAAAAGGCTAAAAAAAACGGGCATCCAGGAGACAAAGGCAGAAGAACATTGAGAGAGAGAGAGAGGTTCTTAGAAAAAGAATAATTCATAGGAAGATGAAGAGAGAAAATAGAGAACTAGATTTGACTTTTGGAAATATAGGTTTGCTAATCAAAAGAAATTGAGGAACATGAAGAAAAATGACATGAGTAATATTGGGTCATTTTGAAAATAGTAAAGTTTTTTTATGTGGCTAAATGATTGGGAAATGACATGTTTACTATGGGCAGGTCAATGAGGACCTGGAACCTAAGAAGTGTCACAACAATTATCAATAGGCTAATCACAAGCGAAGTACTCAAGTCAAAAGAAGTACTTCACATAATGGGGCAGTCATTGATGATAGTAACACAACACTATATATATATATATATATATAATCCTGACTCTCTCTCTCTCTTTGATTTGCTAAAATATGTACTAATGAAAATTTGAGAAGAGATATGATAGAAAGTTTGAGAAGAGATCATGACTCCAAACACACAGACCAGAGCTTGTGGGCAATTTGTTTCAGTTACACCCAATCTTTGTAGAAAGCACCACCTTTGACCGATGGTTATAAAGGCAGTAAAGAACTCAAATTAGAAACCATGTGTATAGATATGAGACTCTAGAATTGATATAAACCCTGTATGCCTTGTGTATGGATGCGAGGGAGTCCGAACTGCGACTATCTTTCTAGAGTGCTTCTAATTTTGCACTTCAATTTTCTGGTTTTGATCTCTTTGATATCTAGGAACATAACAAAGATTGTATTTTGAAATTTTTTCAGTTGCAACAAGGCTTCTCGAGCTTATTGTCTTGGGGGTGTTTTGCTGCATTTAAAATCATCTAAGAGGCAGCCACTTTGAGTGTGGAGGACAGAACTAGAATATGGTCCCTAGCAGGTGAAACCAAGAATTTAAGACCTTTAAGGAAACCCATCTTTTCATATAAGTGAAGAAAATATGATGATAAGTCTAAAAAGTGGCTCAGCAATCGCAAGGTGAGGCATTAGGTAGACTGGCTAAACAATCCTTCGGCACAGTAACTGCCGAAAAATTGCATGAATCATTGAAAGTGGATACAATGAGTGAAATTAATTTGGGATCCGGTCTAAACTTGCAACCCCCTGAAATGAAATGATGCAAAATGACTCATAAGAAAAATCTAAGATGATCAGAGCAAGCTGCAGGGTCATACTGCTGAATGGATGGTTGAAAAGTTTGGTGAAACATGCTCTGAACAGGCATCAAGGGTTCCAAACTCCAATCTAATAAGTTTTGAAGGTGTCATCCAAAAATCAGTTCAAACCACATCAAATGAGCCCAAAAAATTAAATACCATTGAGGGATCGCAGTCTGGAACCAAAATGACCTCAAATTTACAAAGAAACCCCCTATAAATTTATGGTCGAATGAACTACAATTTTTATGAAAGAAAGATACTCTCTTGGAAAGCATAAATTGCAAACTTGAGCTTAATACAACATAGAGAAGTGCTATTTTTTAAGTGTTCCTTGGCAGACCTCAAGGGACCACTGTAGCTGTGGTTTAGCAGATCATGTGCAATTTATAGCAACTAGTGAGTTTTTGTACTCCTAAGGATCTCATAATCCTCACGGTCAAATAAGCTCAAATTTTGATTTGTTGATCTTCATTCGAAGAGTTGTCCATCCGTGTAAATATTGATGGTGTTCCGAATACACAGATCAATAGGTATATCAAAACAAAAAGTATGATCAAAAGTGGATTTATGCTTAGTAGTCCCTGTGACCTTGATCCACTTTATGATTCATATCTCACATCCATGAAGCATTTCATGCTGAAATTTTGGCAGATAAGATCTTCACTCTGTCCTCTAAACATTTATAGAGTTTGTTGTGGGGTTTAAAACCTAACTGGGGGTTATATTGTAGAGAGAAATTGCGCAAAAAATAGAGAGAGCTGAATTTTATAAAAAAGGCCAATAAAATGATCATAACTCATCGATTCTTAAAAGTTTTTTGCCCAGGTTTCTTCCTAAATACTTTAAGGATGACTCCCACAATTCATACTGACAAATCGCCAAATAGCAGCCAATAAAAGGTGAAATCTGAAAGACTTTGAACGAAGCATGGGATTTTCTCAAGTTTTAATATCAAATCCATAAATTTGATCATAACGCCTTTAAACTTTGGAGTTTTTATCCAAAGTTGTTCGAAAATGATTGTGACAAAACAAAATTGTTTGGTTATTTGAAATCCAAAAAAGTCTATGGATTTCAAATATCAAGGATTATTGTCGTGGATTTTTCAAATCTCTTGTATATACAATATAAAATTGATTGATTCTTTACAAGCATTTTCATTTCTATTGGTAACAAAATTTAATATAATTTTCTCTAAAAAATTTTAATTACTCTCTCTTTAAAATTTGATATAGTTTATCTCTCTAAAATCTTAATATACTCTCTCTCTAAAACTTGAGATCTTTCTCTCTCTCAATTTCTTTGGTACTTTGGCAATCTAAAATTTGATATAGTTTCTCTCTATAATTTTAATACACTTTCTCTAAAAGTTAAAAATTTGAGATAGTTTCTCTCTTTAAAAATTTTGAGATAATTTCTCTCTCTAAAATTTTTCAAGTAGTTTCTCTCTTTAAAATTTGATATAGTTTCTTTCTCTAAAATTTTAAGATACTATCTCTCACAAACTTAAATTTTGAGATAGATTTTATTTCTAATTTTTTTTTTTATAGTTTCTCCGTCTAAATATTTTCAAATAGTTTATCTCTCTAAAATTTGATATAATTTTTCTCTCTAAAATTTTAAGATACTTTCGCTCTCTAAACCTTAAAATTTGATATAGTTTTTCTCTAAAAGTTTTGAGATTGCTTCTCTGTAAAAAGTTTCAAGTACTTTCTCTATCTAAAATTTGATATAGTCACTCTTTCTAAAATTTTAAGATGCTTTATCTCTCCAAAAGTTAAAATTTGATAGAGTTTCACTTTTTAAGATTTAGATATAATTTCTCTCTCTAAAATTTTAATATATATTCTCTCTCTAAAACTTAAAATTTGAGAAAGTTTCTCTGTAAAAAATTTAGTTAATTTTTCGATCTAAAATTTGATATAGTTTCTCTATCGAAAATTTTAATATACTTTCTCTCTATAAAACTTTAAATATGAGATAATTTCTCCCTCTAAAAATTTCAGGTACCTTTTCTATCTAAAATTTGATGTAGTTTCTTTCTCTAAAATTTTAAGATATTTTATTTTTCTAAAACTTAAAATCTATACAGTTTCTCTCTAAAAAATTTGTGATAATTTATCTCTAAAATTTTCTAGGTTTTCTATCTAAAATTTGATATAGTTTCTATCTCTAAAATGTTAATATACTTTCTTTCACTAAAACTTAAAATTTGATATAGTTTCTCTCTTAAAATACCTAAAAGTCTCTCTCTAAAAATTTTTAGTCTATTTCTCTCTTTAAAATTTAATATAGTTTCTCTCTCTAAGATTTAATATAGTTTCTCTTTCTAAAATTTTAAGATACTTTCTCTCTCTAAAACTTACGATTTGAGATAATTTCTCTCTCTAAAATTTTTGAAATAGTTTCTATCTCTAAAACTTTTGAAGACTTTTTCTAAAATTTGATATAGTTTCTCTCTCTATAAGATGCTCTCTCTAAAACTTTAAATTTGAGTTAATTTTTTTCTCTAAAAATTTGAGATATTTTTTCTCTTTAAAAAGTTTTAAGTACTTTCTTTCTCTAAAATTTGAGCAGTTACTCTCTCTAAAACTTGAATATAGTTCCACTCTTTAAAACTTCTCTCTATAAATTTTAAGATAGTTTATCTCTCTAAAAACATTTATGTACTTTCTCACTTTAAAATTTAGATTTAGTTTTTTCTCTTAAATTTTAATATACTTTCTCTCCTTAAAACTTAACATATGAGATAGTTTTTCTCTTTAAATTTTTTGCTTTTTCTAAAATTTGATATAGTTTTTCGTTTTTGTCGAATATCAAACTAGTGTAACATAATTTTCACATTAAAATATTTTCATGTAGAAATACCGACCAAATATTTCCAAGTTTTGGGTCGAGGGGCCGATGAGTGGGAATCCATGGAGAATTTTGATGATTTATTTTAAAAATAAATATTTGTTTTTTATTTTTTCCATGTTCGCCCTAATTCTATGATAGGATACCCAAAATTTCATTCAAACAATGTTTTATAAAAAAAACGAAAAATAAATTTTCACATGACATTGTGGTATGAACTGTAGTCGAAGAGAACGGCTACGAAGTGGGTCACATACAACTTATATACTGTTGTTGTGGTCATATTTGGACCACATGGATTGGACACATCTTTTAAAAAAAATACCGTCTACTTAGACTGTCTAGATTACTTGAACGTTATTTGTGCCAATAAAGTTGTAACCTCATATAAACTTTTAACTTTTTCCAGTGAACTATCGTGTCAATAGGAAAATGATTGGGCATTTTGAGTCCACTTAACCATGGTCGTGGTTTAAGTTGAGGCTCCGGTGAAAAGAGCGGGAAAGTAGGGCAACAATGGAGGGGGAGGAAGGTGGAAGCAATTTACAGAGCCTCCTCCATGCCATTAAAGCTTCTGAGGTTCCCTTTTGCTCTTTAATTTGCATTTAGTTTTATCTTTCACTTATCCTTCTCCCATTGATTTGTGATCTCAGAGAAAATGGCTTTAGTATTTGAATCAATTGATTTTACTTCTTGCCTCTGCTGGTTTTGAATTTCTACCCTGCAATTTTGAGCATCTAAGAGGTTTAAATTCCAGGGTTTGGGTTTATTGATTCGTCAATTACAAGTTCTTGATCTCAGTGCTCCTATATCATCTATTAACTTGTTTTTTCTCTTTGTACTTACTTTTTAATTTTATTTTTTGCTGCAGGAGATGGTTAGATGATATCATTTATTGAATATTTTTATTTTTAATAGATTCTGAATTCCAATTTTTTTGGGGAAGCTAAATTTGCCTTTTTATTTGGCTGCTGGTTTTTGGGTTCAAATCATGGAAATTTGTTTTCAATTCTCTTGGAATTTTTGTTTGGGTTCAAATCATGGAAATTTGTTTTTAATTCTCTTGGATATTTTTGCCAGTTTACATGTCAGTGCTTAATATAAGCTTTTTAGCTCAGAAATCTTCCAAAAACCTGAGAAACGCTATATGTCCTGGACAGACATGCTCAAACTTGAGGGAGTTTATTAATATGCTACTTTTTGTTTGCAGTTTAGTTTTAGTGGTTCTCTCTCTTATAAAACAAATGTGTATGTAAGTACTGAACTAAGCTTGTTTATACCTTATACAACGCATTGGCCATTTTCCCTGAGAATCACTTTGGAGTAGATCCGAATACACAGGAAAAGTGTTTATGTTTATTCCAAAACTGCGTCATATATAAAGAACTTAGCTCAAATACTTTTGGACATCGTGTTTGAAGCATCTATGCTTGAGACTTCTTTTATAGCAGCTTGTTAGAGGTACTAGACAAATCTTACCAAAGCCACCTTTTGATCTTTGAATCCTGTTGAACATCCAATGTCCTATAATCTGGGATGGTGCTTCCTGTTCACCAGAGAACTTCTGAATTTCTGTACAGAACCACCTGCGAAAACCTCTCTATTGATCAAGGAACTAACTATTTTAATTACTTCAAAGGTTTCACTTTTTTCTGTTGCTGTCAAGATGCTAATGTACTGGGTTTATAGTTCATTTTCTCTCGGAGTTTGTATCATGCATCAGCTTGTGTCTTAGGCATCTTTTCATTTTCTTATGTTAGTTTTTTTCTATCTTTTGACATTATTTCGTACGGATATTGTCTGTATTCCTTCACTATTCTGATGTGATACTTTAGTCTAATCAGATTCTTGATGCTCGTATTCCGCTCGTCAATCAACTTGAAGAGACAGGCGTATCTAATGGGTCTGAGTTAACAAGCATTGCTGAATGCCTTTTTGTATCCTTACACCTGACATTGATTTTCTCTAATTTTCTGGAAAATATTGTCAAATTCTAAGGCAAATTTATAGTTTTTGATGGTTTTATTAAGGAGCCAGTATGCTTACTTATATGAGATGCTTAAGAGGGCAAACTTGCTGACTGGCATGTGTTATATGTTATTCTCTTACAATTTCTAGGTGGAGTTTTTTGGACACCAAGACCATGTTGCAGAATTGATATGGTAATAATATTTTAGAACTGATATTCATAATTCTTCTGACTAGGAACCAATGCATTGCATTATTCTTACGTAAATAAAATTTCTAATGTTTTCGAAAGTTTGACCTATCAAGCTCCTTTCTTTGTGTCTTATTTGTGGAGCATTGTGATGTTTTTGGTAGAAGCTTTGAAATATGTTCTTGATTGGAGAAATTCTTTTCGGAAGTCATTTTTGGTCATTACAAGGCTTCTATAAAATGTAAAAGTTCTATTTCAAGCAATTCTTTTGATTGAGTTTTGGGTACTCAAACCGTAGTGTTTTTAACTCTTTTGCTGACTATAGAATGAACTGTCATGCCCATTTTCTTGATGCGCACAATATCTTCATGTTTTATTTGATGCTATCTGTTACCCCAGATAATAGAAAGACATAACAAAATTTTCACTACAGTTTATGTAGTATTAGAATTAAAGCGAAGTGTCCTTGGTTTCGTGTATGAGTGTGTGATACCATCTTCAGAGTTCAATTCTGCCTCTTCTTCTATATTTCTTTCTTAATGATGGTCTAGACATTGTGGGAGGAGTCTACATGTACTGGGACCTCTCATTGCAAGCTCAACAAAGCCATTCTACAGGTAGCTGCAAAGTACTTAAAACTGGAAAACATGCCTGATTGTCTATGCCAATTTCTGATTCTCGCAACAAAGGTAATGCATGTGGTTGGTTTACATAGAATTTGTATATGCTTTATGTTCATCCTCTGGAGTAGTCTTCTCTGTTGTTTCAATATGTTTTCAAGCTGTGATGACCTTGTTCAATTAACTAACCTGATTTAATAGGCAAGCATATGGTGTGGTAAACATCTCCATGAAAATTTTTCTAATGTGGAAGACTCTCTGGACGAAAGGCATAGAGAACTTTTCTTTCAGGTAAGCATGTTACGCTTTTCTTGTTTGTTCTCCTACTGCATGCATATCTTTCTGTGTGTGTGAGTGCATGGACGTATGCATGCAGTGAGTATATATGTATGTAAATTTGAATGTATGATCACGTAACACTCCTTGCAACTTGAGACTTTTGCTACTTACGGTCAAGATGGTGATTTTGTTTCTCTAAATTTCATTTTATTTTGTTATGTATCATTAGCACAAAAACCTATATATGTTTTGTTCAGAGGCTTTTGATGATAGATTTCAGCACTCTGAACTACTTAGGAGTTAGAGAGCCTTTTATATATTATTTATCTCCTCAATTATTCTATTGATTAGATTGCAAGTGTATTCTGTTGAAAATAAAGTTTATTTCTATTATATCATTCAGTGGCAAGTGACAGCAGAGGAATATATTTCTGGATCTGCATCTTCATTTCTTTCATTTGTGAATTGAGAATCAATATCAAAATAGGATTTGACAGCATCTTGAAACCCATGCCTTTCATTGGTTTTGTAGATCCCATGAGCAACTTTACTATCTTGAACTGGTTGAATAGGCCACAACACTTTTCTTTTGTCCCTGAACCCAAAAGCAGCAAGATCCCAAATTTTCCATCTTGTTATTTGGATCTCTTATGACAAACCTGGCACATTTAGAAACCAGTACAATGGTGTTAACTTGACTTTGTTCCTTCGAGAGTCCAACAACCCCAAGTGAAAAACTTGAGGTGGCAGTTTGGACTTTGGACTCCTAAAGAATAATAGCCCAAGGAATGTTTGTGTTTGTGAGCATGTGTGCGCCTGATTATCATTATTTTTCTGGTATTCTTGAATTCAATCTGCTTAAGATTCTCTTGTTCAATGAATTCATGTTGTCTTTGTAATTGGATATGTCATCTACCATGCCAGTTTCTTCATTTGCCATGTGGATGTTGTGCTGATGAATTTGTTGACACCAAAAAAATTTAACAAGGCGGATGCCTTTGTGCTTTATCTCATTATTGAGAGATGATGGTCTTTAGTTCATTATATGAGAATCTCACCACAATATGTGCTTTCTGTTGCAGTTGGTTCTGGATTCATTAAGCTTCTCCTCTGCCACCTTTTCAGCCTTGACAAGACATCCCATGTCCTTCGAAAATGCCTTTGTGCTTGTCGTTGAGAATTTCATTGCTGAACAGCTGAACCTATTGAAAGTTTCCATCTCAGAGATCAAGGTATTGTTTCTCAATTCTTAGTTCTTAGAAGTTGTTCTAGGAGTTTTAATTAATACATATTAACTTCCAACTTATTACTCATTAACTTGCGTCTTTAAATGTCCCACTACCTAAGCCAAAACCCAGCGGTTTAGATATTTTTAGAATATTCTTGAAAAATTCAACCGAGAAATTAACTTTACTTATATTAAAGGAGAGGCCATGCACTATTGGCATGGCCACCTAACTGTTTATATGATGTTGGCAAGATTTGATCCATCTTGGCTATGATACATCCTCTTCTGGTCCGTGTTCATTCACTGCTTTCAAGAGTTTTCTCTTTCTTAAGTTTGAAATATGACATATATATATATGCACAATATGATGACATTTAAAAATAAAATTGTGTGTAGTTCAATTCTTTTCTTGGTTTATAATTTTCTGAAGTTTCATACATTATGTTATTATAAATACAATTTGTTATTAACGAATGACATTGACTTTGTGTTTTAAAACATCAAATTTTAGTACTTGGCAATCTTTTGCCTGGATGCCAAAAGCCTGCCTGAAATGTGCATCCTTTGACATAATGTGATCTAAAAATGTAATAATTATGAAGTTCTTCCCGTATCTGCGGAGAATTTTCATCCCAGGTTGCTTAAATTGTCTGTGGCAGGACTCATACCAGCTTGTCACTTCACTAATGCCTAGTTTGCAGTCTAAATATGCTGCTCAACATTTAATAAAACAAAATTTGAAGAAATGCAAATTCAAATCTTTCCTTGTTCTTTATTGTTTTACTGTCATCATCATACGAGCCTTATCACAACTATTTGGGGTTAGCTACACAAATCCTGTTCCACCATTTCATTTTATCCAGGGCCATATCCTCAGTCACCATATCCATTCGCATTTGTCTTACCATGACTTCATAAGAAATTCACATATGATAAGCTATCTATGTTGATTATCAGCAATGGTGGTCTTGTTAGGTTGTATATCATTATCTACCTTGTACATAATTCTTTGTAATATGTAGGAGAACATGACAATCCAGTGGATAATGGGAAAACTATAAGTCATTGGGATGATGATGGGGAGAGAATGGGACCCAGCGTTGGTCCATCTCCTGTTTTGGTGTGTCCCATCTCTCTTTCCATCACCATTCATTTCAGTATATGGTGATAGTCCATGGACTGTGGTTTCTCCTCAGTCAATTGGATGGTAATATACTCTCTTAAATCAATTATGTAATTAAAGAATGCTCCAGTTCAATTTTTGTTTACTTTTAGTTTTATCTTCAAAGGAAAAGTCAGGAGTCATCCTTTGATTTTGATTTATGAAACAGAGGTTGCAGTCCATTGCATCTGAAGTACTGAAGGCTGCACAAGAGATCCTAGATACTGCTGTCAAACTATGTAAGGTCTATTCTCAAGGCATCAACTTGGAACCCTGTGAGACTACCAGTAAGGAAGATGGTGATCCTATGGATTGCAAAACCATGGATAACAGGAATCATGTCATTAATGTGACATCTTGTACAATAGAGAACTTTTATAAATTGGGAATTCTTGCGGCTGCTGGTGGAGGCGGCCTGGTCTCTATTCTTAATGTATCTTGGAAAGGAGTTGTCACTCTACTTCAACTGGAAGTTGGTAAAGCTATTTTAGCTAATAAAATAAATGTTGAAGATATTATTCTCACTCTAGTATCACTAGCCAGGGAATCCCTAAAATGCACAGCTGAAGCTTGGGCTCTCCCATTCAAAGGCAGCCTGTCTGTAACTGAAGCGAAAAGGTCTTTCCTTCCCATAAAGTTTTACTTAATCAATGCTGTTAGAATTTGCTCTAGATATCCATGCGAAGCTTCAAAAGTGTTCAAGGATATCATGTTTTGTGTCTTGAGAATATCAACTTTGGGCCTTGAACTGAGAAAAGAAACAAATCTTGGAACAGCAAGTGATGCATTGGCCGAGTTCTTGGAGCCCACGTCATTTCTTCTCATACATACCTTATTAAATTCTTTAGAATTGGAAAATGAATGTAAGTTACAGATTCTGGACTCTTTGTTCCCAATTGATGTTGCTAAGCAGTCAATGAAATCAGAAGGAGACATATGTTCTATTGACAACGAAAAAATTGCCCCTGATGAAGCTTTGGCATCAAATTGTGAAGATATCCCTAGTATGAGGAACTTGATACTTGGTCGGGTGTTTGTGCTCGTGAATCTTCTCAAAAACTCTCCAGACCTTGGAGAAGAAGTGGTTTTCATGTTGTCCAAGAAGCTAGATTGGCTTTTGGATGCCTTCATTAATGAAAATGTATATTCGTTTACCCTGCTGACACAAATTCCCCAGGTATCTGGTTTGACCACTTCACCTGAAATAGCTGTGCAGCCTATGTTTTATTACATTCTGAATTCACTGAAAACCTTCATGATTGTGGCTTCTTCTAGTTTAGCATGGTTGGAGGTGGAGAAGTTTCTACTCTGCAATGTTGTGCACCCTCACCCTCTCTGTTCAGAGATTGTCACAGAGCTGTGGTGCTTTCTAGCCCAACATGCTGAAAGAGATCTCTTGAATGATACTGTTGATAAACTCAGTTCATTAATCTGGACTTTGGCATCATCAGGACAAGGCCCTATTCCTTCTTCAGCTCTAAGAAAGATGGCGAGATCAGTTTGTATAGTTCTTAATTGTACTCCGCAATCTGCAATTGACAGAATATATGGTAGTTTCTTTGGTGAGGATAATGCCCGAAATGGTGCTTCAGTAGCCCTCCACTTGGCCTTGTTGATGGAAGGTTTTCCACTAGATTCCTTGTCAGAGAACTTACGGAAGCTCGCTGTTAGGAGAGTCTTGACTGCATTTTGTGGGTTTATAGAAAGCAACAGTAAAAATCTTGTAGATAGAAGCTCGACAAGTATCCCTGGCCTTCATGGAGAACCAGTGTATGCTTTATCATCTTTGTTCAGTCACAAGTAAGTATCTGAATTTTTCTTATATAGATATAAGGGTTTCTTCAACACACCATTCTAATGGTGATGTACGGAAACTTCACTCCCAAAATTTGTCTATGAAATATAATATATCTTTATTGCTTTTACTTTGAAGATAGGGGAGTTAGAGGTAATTTCAGAACCTGTCTGATACTAGGAGAGAATAAAAGATAAGAGAATCTCATTAAAACCTAAATTTCATTTCCATATGAGTATGAGAATTTCCTGTATTGCCTCTCCTAAACTTAGGAATAACATATCTTATAGGCATTTATTGTTTAAAATTTTGGGAATAGGGTTTCCTAACATCACCATTAGAATGATGTGTAAACATATGTGTGTGTGTGTGTGTTTTGCATTATGCTTTGATGAATTTGATGGATGAATTTACCTGAAACTTCTTCCTCGTCTATTTTCAGCCAGATTAAAGGCCATGAGATTGACAACAAGTACATCTGGCCAATTCTAAGGTTCACAATGACTGTGATTCATGGATTCAAAAGCATCACAGACACTTCTAAAAAGGATCAATACATCCAATTTCTTGGTCAAACCTTAGAAATAATCTCACATATCAAGCAAGCATATGCATGTGATCAGATGCATGAGCTCGTCTCAGAGCTTCTAAGTCTATTCACTGCATATACGACCATCTCTGATGGCCAATTGCACTTGTGTAAACCTGCGCTGGCTGCATTCTTAGCAGGTTTAAGTCACATGGAAATATCGGAGGGCGAGGAATGCCCATCAAGCCGTGCAATTTGGGAACTCTATCATAACATGCTGAGAGAGAAACACTGGGCGCTGGTCCACTTGGGGCTTGCTGCTTTTGGCAACTTTGCTGCTAGGACTTCTTGTAACCAACTGTGGCGCTTTGTGCCACATGATGCAGCTCTCTCATTTGAGATTGAGCAGGAGAGAGAACCAAATGAAGAGAATTTCATGTCAGAATTGAGGAAATATCTAGAGAGAGACGGTGCTCTTCTTGCACCGTCTCCATGCAAAGACCAGCTTGGATTGCTAGTGAGAGAGGGTGCAGTTCTTCGAGAAGTTATTGAGAAGTTGGTTTGTGAGCCAAAGCGCAACGGGTTTGGCAATAATGGTCAGTTTCAAAAGAAGAGGAAGCTACCTGAGGGGATTAATGAGGGAATCTCCTTGGTTCAGAGAGGGTTGAAGGCAATGAGTGATGGCCTTGCGAGGTGGAGGCAGCAAAACGACTGCCATTCCAGTGAATCTAGAGAGATGCAAGAGGAGCTATCGGTGCATCTCTCTTGCCTTGAGGATGTAGTTTCTCACATGGCTAGTCTCGACGAGAGGGGTTGAAGAGTAGTTTGGTAAGATTTCATCTGTGAAACATTTGTAGTTTTACTAACAAATATGAGATCCGAATCAATGGAAAGTATTTTGAGCTATGAACATTGTGGTATTGGAGCTTTAGAGAGTGGGAGGATATGACATGCTCTTTGTACAAATAAGGATAACAGCCATTGCAGTGTCAGCCTGGAATTGGACGGGCAGTCTATATTACAGCTATTTTGATTTGATGGTGGATCATATGTGGTATGTGTGCATCAGGAAAATATGGATGGTCCATTTCAGGTTTTATTATCAAGTTTTGGCACTATCACTAGGGATGAAGCAAAGTTTAAACTTTAAACAACAAAGATGCACTTAATTTGCTGCCACACCAAAATGTGTTCTCTATTGCTCTCTTGTTCTAGTTGAATCACTAGAATATCATGGGATCGTTGAACATTTTCTTGAGGGACAGATTTGTGTCACTTACAACTTTGGGTTGTATTTATCTCCCAGGTTTTATTGTTTGTGCCTTGTGTCTCAATGCTCCACCACTCAAACCAAAAAAGCTTCGAGGTCCCCCTTGACTTACTACTTTGGCGAAGGAAAAGTGCGATATAATCACGAGGACTATTGGAAAACAATGGTCCATAAAACGTCCTCTGAGATGAAGGCAATGGAGCACTTTGTGAGGACAAACTTGACCAGAATGACAGGCCTCACCATGTCTTCATAACCATCCATTTTCTCAGTGGACAGTGATGCGCTGACTGGTTATGCTTTATCCACATTCTCAGTATTAATTTTCTTTCTCATTAACAATTTCTCCACGAGGCTTTTTACAAACTTACAAACTAATGTGGCTAATTTTGTGCCCCTGCAGCCTAATGCATATGGTGGGCATTTGGTGACTATGTTATGGTGACACTATTTTGCAGTAACCTACTCCATATGCATTTTAAAACGTTAATTGCATGGGGACCATGTTGGCATGGAGGCACTCCCTTGATATGCCACATTTTTTCAGAAGGCTTCAAAAAATACTAAGTGTTTAGGCAGTTTAATCCCCATATGGAGGGCTTGGTATTTTTCTTCATGATGTACATGTAATTTCGATTGGGGATTTTATGGTTTTTGCATGTGAGGTTTTCAATTCGAGAAAAACAACGTTAGGGACTTTGAAAAATAACCCATGGTAAGCACATCAAAAGGGGGGACTGGTAGTCTCACGCATGTTTTTGAAACTATGGGCGGTAGGGCTGGAGCCATTGTTTATATCCCAACCCATGGGAATAACAAAAAATTGGTGAGAATATGATAAACCCTAGGGAATCCTCTCCAGTAGTAAACACTAGTATAATAGCACATATTAGAACACTGGTGAATTTCCTTTTGTGCCACAGAGCTACATAATTATGTTATGTAGACATTGATACATGTCTCAATCTCATATAGTTACGAGTATCAGAAACTTTAATTTCAAAATTGGCCTTTCGATATCTATACCCTATTTAAAAGAGGGCCAGGTAAAACTTTTAGGTGTTATTAAGTGCCTTTGTTGATGCATTGTCGGAGCGGCATAAAGTTTATACAAAAGGTGGTATAGCCGCTTGCATCATCCATTTGAAACGGACTGCCCAAATTTCCTCAGGCACATGCAGGTAGTCTACCAGACTGATATAAAATGTTTTCATAGCCACGCAAATACATTTCAATTATCTATATCCTACTGTTGAACTATAAAAACACTAAAGGGGGGTTTTTGTATAACGTATCAACCTTAAAAAATCAAAATTGCACCGCCAAATGTGCAGCAAGATGGAGTTCAATTACTGAAAACAGCTGTGATGACCTGGACTCTATTTACAGGTTATCTTATAGAATTTAAAGCTCCAAAATATTCAATTATTTTGAATATAATTTAGTTAAAAAATGATGCTTATAAGCTAAAACATTATTAATGAAATTTTAGAAATTTTCATAATATTTTTTTTCCAGCAATATAATTGATATGACAAGTTTGTTTTTCTAAAAGGAGGAGTCTTTATTAGGACAAATTTGGCATTTATAAAAAGTTTAATAAAGAGAAGAAGAATGGTTTTCTCGCAAATAACTACTTTTTTTAAAGGAAAAATTATAAAAAAACCCTAAAATGGATGATTTATGCAACTTATCCCTACCTCAATCTTTTTTCTCATTTTTTTTCCCCAAACAAACCTTTCTTAGCAAAAACTCCCCAAGGTAAAAAATTGTTATTTTTTGGACGGAAATATCCATCTCGTACAAACCAAATCAAGTAGCGTAGTGTCGGGAGCGCGTCTTTGTACTGTTAGAGTGCATCTTTTCACTGCCGGAGCGCGTTCTCATAATACCGGAGTGCTGTGGTTCCGACCTGCATTGACAGAGCGCACATTCAAAAGTCGGAGCGCGGTCCTCCATTGCTGGAGCGCTGTTGCTCCAAAGACTTCATTGCTGGAGTAGAATGCCAAAAGCGGAGTGCTGGAGTGCGTCTTTGCACTACCGGAGCAAGTTCTCATAATGCCGAAGTGCTGCGACTCAAACTTGTATTGCCAGAGCGTGTGTTTGTACTGTCAGATTGTGTATTTGTACTGCCGGAGCGCGTGTAAAAATATGAGAGAGAAAGCTGCGTAAAAACAAAAAAAGGTAGTTTAGTCTTATTTCATGCTACTTTTGGGGTGAGGGGTTATTTGCAAGAAAATGTTTTTTGGGTAAAAAGGGTGAGACAAAAAGTTTGGATGGGTAAATTGTATAGATAGCCTTTTTTAATGTGTCTTTTATAATTTTCTCTCGTTTAAACGGTTATTAAATGACTCCTTCTAAAGTCAACTGGGTCAAAACATCCTACCAAACATTTAGGGGTTTACCTTTAGTTTTCATTTCACCAGGCATTGCATCAAAAAATATTCTTAAAAATAAAATAAAAAAGAAATTTTCATCATTCACGGTTGAGAGCTCAAAATAAACAAGAGCATTTATTAATGAGACATATCTAAGAGGTCCCAACTAAATGACGAGACTACCCTGCTTATTCAAAGTGGATCAAATTACTGAGCGTTCCAATTGAGTGCTCTTATTAAATCTCGGTTTCCAACGTTGTGCAAAGACAATTAGGACAATCTTAAAATACTTTTTAATGGACTCTAAAGTGACAAAAAATAAAAATTAAACACTCTAATGTTAATAAGGATTTTTTGAACCTTTAATCAATGATCGCCCCAAAATCTTGGTTCCTTAAAATGATATTTTTCCCTGAAATTACAACTGTTTGGACAATAAGTTGGAATTATTAGTGTTGAAGATTGTTGTCTTTGAAGAGATGCACTAGCATGTGTAAGAGGGAACATGAGAAGTAATGCACTCAATGCTTCAAATATTTTCCATCATGGTTAATGGTGGACATTCCATTATAGTTGATGGCGTGCTCTCTGATCTTGTTCCATACAGACAGATGCTCATAAAGATTTGATAATTGACAATATAGACTCATGAGATTAAAGTTGGTGCCTCATGAGATTAAAGTTGGTGCTCTCAAGAAAATTGACCTCCAAGTCACTCCAACAAAAAGATAAATTCTCGAACTCTTTATGGTCTTCATAATTGGCCCTAGTTACTTTTACCTCATTGCTAGACTGTGTTTTTTTTTTTTAATGGAAAAAGTTTATATAAACTTGCAATCTTAAAATGAAGAATTAAAGATACACCTCAAAAATCTATTGGAAAATGTTGTTTAAATGTTGAAATACCCTCTAATTGATCATCTTGACATTGAAAAGTACGAATATGAAGCCAAAAAAGAAATGATTTTGAGTCTCTGAAATAGTACAACTTGCAACACCTTATCTAGATCGTCCATTTTCGAGATTTTCATATGTTTATATATCTACTTCATTTTAAGCATTTTTATAATTTTAAAATTTTATAATTTTAAAAATTTATAATTTTATAATTTTAAAATTTATAATTTTAAAATAATTTTATAATTTTATAATTTTATAATTTTATAATTTTATAATTTTATAATTTTAAAATTTTAAAATAATCGTAAAAAATTTTATATCAAAATTACATGTTATGATTAAATTTGGAGGTGTTTAATTGGATTGTCGAAGGTTGCAACATTATAAAAACCACACCTAGTTGTTCTTTTTCATATTTATTTTGGAATTGCTCTAACTTATTTCCAGATTGTTTTTTATCTTCTTTATTTTGGATTGGATCAGGATTCTTGAGTTTTTGTTTAAAAGATAGGATTCTTGAGTTTTTGGTTAGGAAAAAGGAAAATGTCAGAAAAAAGAGGGGCATTCCGAGAATTGAACTCGGGACCTCTCGCACCCTAAGCGAGAATCATACCACTAGACCAAATGCCCACGAGTTATTGCATTCTTCTTAGTAATTAACTATATCCAATGAATCTTTGCTCCATGAATTCATTCGAACACTATCAAATAGCTCATGTCCCTAGCTATATGGTCCCCGATAAAAAGCCTGGTCGGGTTTCTAGGTCAACTTTAGTTTAAAGCAATGTTTGGAAACCCAAATCAACGGCTTTGGATCAGTCTAAATAGGTGTTTTAAAAAAATAATAGAAAATAAATAAAATAAAATAACACGGGTTTATAAAGTGGGGATATAGAGAAGACATAAGAATATATTAGATAAGTTAAAAAAAAGAAAAGGTATATACATGGGGGTTTGGGCTTGTAAGAGGAAACCAGACCAAGACCCCTACCATCCTGAAACCATTTTGGTGAGGACCGATTTCTGTCCAGATCAACGATCCGGAGCGAAAATTGCATAATTGTAAAACCCTAGCTCGAATATAAAAAACCATGGTGACCTTATCCGTCGCCTACTAGATCAGTCTACATTTTCAATCTGGTGAGAAAAAGAATAATTTTCCAATAGGAATCCAATTCAAAAAATAAAATTGTTTTTAAAAAATATAAAAAAAAGGGTTGAAAACCGAACAATTCTTCCATTCTCCATTCTAAATCACTCGGTTCTCTATCAACCGAGAGAAGCACGCAAGTTAATGGGGGCAAATTTCTGATCTTGGGCAAAAATCGGCCCAACCATCCATCTACCTGGATCAAATTGACGATTTTTTAAGCAAGAACCACACATGAATAGTCAACATCTTTCACGATCATCAATCACGACAAATGAAAATAATGTCACTAAAGTAATGTAAGCTAACATAACATACGAGCGACTTGATAAAAGGTGGTCACAATTAATCTTGACTATTGGATATGAAATTGGGTAGCAGCATTTATTTCATTGACCAAGCTCAATGTTCAAAAAGAATTTTTTTCAAAATTTGTGACACACCTAAGGTATTAGATTTCACATCGGATGGTTGTAAATAATTGTGATCTCCTTGTACCAAAGTTAAATGTCTCATTGTATATAATACTTCAAAAAAAATATATGTTTACCTCCCTCTTGAATACTATGAATGTTGAACAAACAAGGGTATTTTAATAATTTGGCCTTACTTAAATTGAGTTAAATGATGATAATACATATTGTTGTTCAACTTTAAAAATATATAATCACCATATTAAAATAAAATTGATGTACATGGGTAACTAAGGTTGGCAATGCGTCTAGTGGCCAGGCCTAACGGAGTTGGTCAAACCATGAAAAACTAGGGTTAGGTGAACAAAGTTTGGCCTAACGGTTGGGCCTGGGTTGGGACACCTTGGCCCGAGAGAGAGGGGGGGGGGGGTTGCGGCCCGCAACCCAGACCAGCCAAGATTTTTCTTTCGTTTTTTATTATTATTTTCAAATTTCCATTATGTTCGGTCCGGCATGGTCTAAGGCTGAGCTATGGCCACCTTAAAAAGGAATCTAGGGTCGAACTTAAACTGGGGCCTCTTCAGCCCAATCTATGCTGTCGGGCCTATAGCGATTCGAACCGAGCGTAGCTCATTTGTAAACCCTATGTTTAACAACATATAAAACTCACCTCTTTTTCTTTTCTTTTTTTTGGGTAAACCCTTGTTGCGTATTGCTAACCCTAAACAACTAAAGGAAATATCGTTATGTGGCTCAGCCCACTTGAGTGTGGTAAACTTACCAAAATGGCCATATTTGTTTAAGGTTCTCGATT